AGTTGTCAAGGATTGGTATTTGAATTAGGTACTGTTCCTGTCTTTAAGAATGTTCTTTTATGGGGTGCCTGGGTGGCTCAGTCGTTAAGTGTCTGTCTTTGGCTCGGGTCATGATCCCAGGGTCCTGGGATCGAGCCCCCCATCGGGCTCCCTGCTCAGCAGGAAGCCTGCTTCTCCCTCTCCCTCTCCCCCTGCTTGTGTTCCTGCTCTCACTATCTGTCTCTCTGTCAAATAAATAAATAAAATCTTAAAAAAAAAAAAAGAATGTTTTTTTTATTCTAGTGAGAGAAATGGATTCAATAAATACAATGGAAGTTAAAATAAAATAATTTTGCCTTAGTTAAGAAATCAAAACATCATAAATAAGAGCAAAATAAGGCTTTTTATTAAAATTAAAATGACTAAAAATAGCCAGTAAATCTCCAGATTATCTTTAGGCAAAGAGCACTTTGACCCAAACCAAAGAACTGTGCATTAAGCATCTTTCCAGATTAAGAAATCATATTTCAGGAAACATAGGGTCGGACACCATCCTGCCAAGGCAGCTATTCACAACAGATATTCTTTGTCCCACATGACCCTTCCCCTCACCTCTTCCTTGTCTGAGGCAGAGTCTTCAGAAAGAGTCTTACAGATTGGTGTGTACCTGGGGAGCCAAGCAGTGTTTGCAGATGGGCAGAAGCCAGGGCTGAAAGTGCCTGGAAGATGTTTGGAGGCATTGGGAGGAACACAAGAGCCAGCTAAAGCAATGAGATGATATTTCCATCTGTCTTTAAGACAACTATTATCCCCTTGATCCTTACCTTCATTCTATATTTTGAATGCCTGACCAACTATTAACCTGATGCTTAACTGGATTATAGTCTCAAATCCCTCCTCCCTCTTTCCTTCCCTCTTTCCCTATTTTTCCTTTTTCCTTTTTTCTCTCCTTTCCATCTCCCCTCTCTATCTTCTATGTCTTACTCTCTATTAAATTAAACATTAGCCTAATCTTTTCACTATGTACCATTAATCAGATTTTATGGTGTTATGGGATCATATTCTAATATTAAAAAAACCTGACTTCTTCATATGCTATGTTGCCGGAGTGGGTCTCTCGTAGGAAAGGACAGCGTCGGCGAATGAGGAGACACAGACACAGGATCAGGTTGCAAGCGTCTCCTCCTGACAGCCTCGGAGGAACTTTATTTATATGTTAGGATATTTTTGTTTTTCCAAATCTTAGATCATTTTCTGGATTACAGCCATAGCCTTCTTTCATTTTTCCTTTGTAATGATTAACATGACCTTTATTGATTTCTGCTTATTGGCTTTCGCTAAAACTAAAAAACAGTACACAAAGAGAAAGGTGCTAGACAGAGCGTGACCGTCTTGTTATTGTTATTTATATATATATAAATATATAACAAGTATAACAAGAATTCCACTAATTCTTCGTGGAATTAGTTTCATTATGATTGCTTAGATAGGCGTAACTAAGATGAGTAGTCACTTTATCATGAAACCCCAGAAATATTCCCACAATTATAAAGATTGCCATAAATAAAATGAAAAAGAATAGCAGGAGCCAGCCCAGAAATATTCCCACAATTATAAAGATTGCCATAAACAAAATGAGAGAGAATAGCAGGAGCCAGCTGTGGAGTCTCCGGTTTTCAGGATCGTCCCCCATACTTGGACTTTGTCAAACAGCATGAGTAGCTTGGCTCGCGCCATCTCCCCCTTTTTTATTTTTGGCCTTCAGTTGCAAAGTCTTCAATTCCAAATGAATTTGTTTTATTCCTCTACTTAGTAATTTGACGAAGACTGGAAAGAGAAACAAAAGGGAGATAATAATTAGTGCTGATATACCTAGATTGATGAGGGATGGAAACCAGGCAGTAGTGGAGGTGTATTTCTGCCAAGTGGCAAGAAAGGAATCTGCAACTTCTGAGGCTGTGGCTGAGGACGCATGTGCCCAACTAATGTCTTTAATTTTTTCTTGCAAGGAGCTTAAGTCCAAGGATACATTATCATTGCTCCATATTCCCCATAGGTGATTTTTGACGTTGTCCCAAGGGACAGATGAGGAATCATAATGGTGGGGAGTGACACAGATCCATTTATATTGTGCATGGCATCTAGTGGTTAACCGAGTTTTGAGATTTTGAATTTGATTTCCTGCCTATAATATAGTTTCCTCTAGAACATTTAATCGTGCCTCAAACTTCTTGTCTATTTGTTCCTGCAAATAAAGTGCAGTTGAAATATTCTGGGTTAATCTATCCACATGATGTGCAGTATGTATTTCCTGTACTAAAGCAGTTGTAGATATAGCAAAAGAACTTATGATTCCTATAAGAGCAGTAATACCTAATATAAGTGCTGCAATAAATTTCTTAGGGTGGCATAAGGCTTTATCTACAAGTTGAATCGTATACATGCCAGGATCATCATACCAATGTTCTTCTAATTTTACAGGTAACACTACATAAGGAGGTTGATGAACAACTATAAAGACAGTTGGGGGGCGCCTGGGTGGCTCAGTTGTTAAGCGGCTGCCTTCAGCTCAGGTCATGATCCCAGGGTCCTGGGATCGAGCCCCACATCGGGCTCCCTGCTCCATGGGAAGCCTGCTTCTCCTCTCCCATTCCACCTGCTTGTATTCCCTCTCTCGCTGTGTCTCTCTCTGTCAAATAAATAAATAAAATCTTTAAAAAAAAAAAAAAAGACAGTTGGTCCAACAGTTGGATCAATGCAATTAGTTAATATACATTTTGAACAGGATACATAATAGGTATGATTAATCTTGTTTACTTGTAATTGGCCATGACCTTGCACCAAGAGAGCATGAGGGGGACCTACACATGCCGTGACCACCTCCATATGGTCAGGGCGTCTAGGCCTTTTTTAGTTCCTTTAAGACCTTATAAGGGAGTGGTTCCCACTGAGTTTCGTCCCATTCATCATCAAAAGTCACTGGAAAACATTTAAAAGTTAAATCCCCATCTCGCAAGACCTCCTGTATTGCTCCCTTAAAGCCAATATTCTTAATAGGTGGCAAGGGTTTTTTACGAACTAAGGCCTTGTTCTGTGGAACTTCTGTCTATGTAGATTAATCACAGAGCCGCATTTAGGGGCTGTGGCGTTTGCAAAAAGTTCCCAATCTTGTTCATGATATTTAGCAGCCTCCTCCTCAAGGGCTACCTCATCTTCGGAGGACAATTGATTGTCTCCCCCTTCAACTCTTTTATTATCTTTGTCCTCATCTTCTGATTTCATTTCATTTATTACCAGTACTTGAGAGGCTGATTTTTGTAATAGAGGTGTCTCTTCAGTGGGGGCAGCGTTATGTGTCTCCCGTAATTTTTTGTGTAAAGGCTGTGAGCTAGGCATAGGATCTAACATATCTCTTAACAATGCCCATAAAGAGAATGCCTCCACGGGTACATTTTCAGGACCATGGTTAGAATAGTATAACCACATTTCCTCCCCTATCTTGTTCTATGTTCTAATATCGAGACTACCATCTTTCGGAAACCAAGGGCAACAGGTCTCTACAAAGGTAAAAAATCTAGCCAGTTGAGCATGAGTAACCTTAACACCTCTTTTGTCAATCATATGCTTAATAATATCAATAAAGAGTCGTCGTTCCTTTGACTCCTTATGGCCCATAGCTTCTCTAAGTTCTGTCTTTCTGCTCACTCTTAACTCTGTATTCCTTCACAGAGGGGTCTGCAGTACCCATGAGCAGAGTCCTATCCGTCCCTGTAGAAAGGCTTACCTAGTCGAGCCCCACATGTTGGGCGCCACTTGCCGGAGTCCAGCTCCAGCCGGGGTGGGTCTCGTAGGAAAGGACGGCGTCGGAGAATGAGGAGACACAGACACAGGATTAGGTTGCAAGCATCTCCTCCTGACAGCCTCGGAGGAACTTTATTTATATGTTAGGATATTTTTGTTTTTCCAAATCTTAGATCATTTTCTGGATTACAGCCATAGCCTTCTTTCATTTTTCCTTTGCAATGATTAACATGACCTTTATTGATTTCTGCTTATTGGCTTTCGCTAAAACTAAAAAACAGTACACAAAGAGAAAGGTGCTAGACAGAGCGTGACCGTCTTGTTATTTTGTTCTATAGAAACTAATTCTTCGTGGAATTAGTTTCATTATGATTGCTTAGATAGGCGTAACTAAGATGAGTAGTCACTTTATCATGAAACCCCAGAAATATTCCCACAATTATAAAGATTGCCATAAATAAAATGAAAAAGAATAGCAGGAGCCAGCCCAGAAATATTCCCACAATTATAAAGATTGCCATAAACAAAATGAGAGAGAATAGCAGGAGCCAGCTGTGGAGTCTCCTGTTTTCAGGATCGTCCCCCATACTTGGACTTTGTCAAACAGCATGAATAGCTTGGCTCGTGCCACTATGTGATTGCTTTTACTAGCTGGGATGATTTAGGATCTTTAACCTTTTTATTTTATAATAATTTAGATATTAGAAAAGCAAAAAACCTTCTGGATTTTTGTGTAGGTTCTAGGGCCTGGTTTCCTGGGATCAAATCTTACTACCTTTGTGGCCTTGGACAGCAAGTTGCTTTTTTCTCTGGATCTGTTTCTCAAATATAATTGGGAATAATAATCACTGAGCTATTTTATTTTGTTGGTATGGGATTAAATGAGTTAACCCATGTATGGGTTAATAAAACAGTTTCTGGCATCTAATAATTAATAAATATTATTGTATTTGATATTAAAGTTAGATAATGGTTAATCGGTTTAGCAAACGTTGATTGAATACCCACCAGGTGCCCAGATCTTATCCTAAGTGATGGGATTAGGTATGTTTATTGAGTATCTACTATTGGCCAGGCATGGAGAATATAGAAGTGAATAAAATGAAGTCCTCTTGGTGTTTATGATAGTATTAATGATTATTACTTATTAAAATTTGAGGCTGACTTTATAAATCTGATTGACCTTTAATTTTGTTTGCTTGTTTTACTTTTAAATCTAGGATATCTTATATTATGAGCAGCTTAAGACCAATGTGATACAGCATGACCTTTTGGTGGACAGTCTAATCTATAAAGTAAGTGAAGGTGTACATAGTTTTTTCATTTCAGTAATATCGTTAAACAATTATTGTGAGTCTTTAACATACAGGACCTGTGCTTTGTATGATGATACGTGTTAACCTTGAAAAATAATTGTAAGTGATCTTTGTACTTGTAAAGGTAAGGTTCATTTTCAAAATTTGTAGTCTCCAGTCAATATTATCCTCCTTCCCTTTGAAGCTGTCCTCATGATTCTTTCCTGATACTCCCATTTTTGATTAAAAGAATGATAAACATTTCCACACAAACCGAATAAAAATGCAACTGAAAGAAAAATCAGACTATATTTTTGAGAGTCAAAATCAGACTAATATTTTTATCTTATTTATCTCATGATTCTTTAGGGCCAACTTGCTTATTCTCTTGTATTGAATTCATTTTTATTTTTAATTTTTTGTAGTTTTAGACATCTGGTCAAGCACATCTCAAGGTTTATGATAGGAATACGTTGAGTTTTTGTCTCTAGGCATCTGATATTGAGTTGGGAGTTGAGATGTAGATAGTATAAGCATGATATAGGATATGCCTGATTCTGGATTAATAATTGGGCTATTCAAAAGACTTGGATTTTTAATTTAGGACTTGTAAGATAGAGAAGAAGGGCATATTATTTCAGGCCTCAGAAATGGGAGAGAGAAAATTACAGGTTGAGGACCTGAAGATTTTTATGGGTGGAACGTGACCAAGGTTAATAACAACAACACCTGGCATTTAATGACTGTCTACCATGTGCCATACAGTGTTCCAAACTCTTCACATAGATTGTCCTTAATCCTGAAAACTACCTTAAGAGTATCAGATACCAGCATTTAGGTATCATTTATAGATAAATGCACCTTTTTTTTTTCCTGGGAAAAAGCCTTACATTCAGTAAAATCATACATTAAAGATAATAGAGCTTATGGGAAAAATAGTGTTGGGGTAGCTTTTGCAACTTTGTAACCGGAGCACGAACAAAAACAATTATTGATAGTTTGGAAGATGAATTGGATAGCCGGCAGGCTGCTCCTGCAGGAGCTATTAAAAATGTACAAATATAATGAAGTAGAAATGCTAACAGAATGCAGGTGGGAGTGGTAACACTGGGCCCCTGGGGCTGCTGTTAAGGTGGGCACAAGAGGAAGAACCTAGGAGTTGTGTGGCCCAGGGGTGTGCCTGTCTGGAGAGGGAGCTCCTCATATGGTCATTTGTTTTTAATTTTCTTGAAATGCAATTATAAGGGCTCATGCCTGTGCAGCAGCTGAGCTGAAGGCATTTTTCCTTTCTTGCTGAAGGTTGTAATTCTACTCTTGCCATTTTGGCACCCCTATTAAAAGAAAAGTTGCATGTGAACCAACACAATTTCCATGTTATAGCAGATATCGTTCCCTTACCCCCCAGCCACGTACTGACATGTGTTATAGCAAAATAGGAAGTACTGTTGTTTTACCATTTTACAGATGAGGGAACTGAAGTAAAGAAAGATTAGAGAAATTAGTTAAATTCACATATTAAGTAGCAAAGTCAAGATTTGAATGTAGATAACTTCACAACCGTACTTTTTAAATCACTATTCACTACAGGAATCTAAGTCTTGACTCTCTCAGAAGTTTTACATAGGTTTGGATCACAGGTACTATTGTTAACTGGGGTCAAACAGTTGTGCTCAGGGGATTATTTTAGCACTAGCATTAAGAGATCTATTGAGCTTTCATGCCTTTCAACCATTTTTCTATTCAAATGAAGAAGACTCACAAGGGAAGTTCAGAAAGTCAGGGAGGGCTAGCATGAGAATTCTCTTTGCTGCCAAGATGAATTTCAGTTTGAATCAGTAAAGGAAGAGGTAAACAGTTTGTATCTGAAAAATTAAATGTAAGTTTTAGTAGAATCAATCCTGACAGTCCACAGCTTGAATATTTTTAGGAAGATACCTGTCTCTGGTTGTTCCTGATTTGTGTGTGTTGAGCTTCGCTGATCTTTTTGGAGCAACTCCAAATGTTATTAAAGTCAGCTTTGGAGAGAATGGGCATTTAAAAAAATTATTTGAAGTTTCATTACAGCTTCCTATGGCAAAGACTAATTTTTAATTTAACTGAAAATAAAGTAAAATTATGTTAGTGGTTGAAGGAATGGATGGAACAAGGCAATACTAAATTTAGAACATCACCAAACCCTCCCTAAGCCAAATTATTCAATAATTTTTGTTTTCTCTAGACTGTATTTTTTTCCCACAAAGTTGCCTTGTATCCACACTTTCTACAGTTTTGCACCACTTACTATGACCTGACAGTTTATACCAGTGTTTCTCAACCTTTTCTTCATCATTAGCTCCCTGAAGACAAAAATTAATTTTTCTCTAACATAAAAAAATTAAATACCAAAGAGTAAGATTTGGGGGCCTATAAACCACTGTAATATGTGAAATTTTTTGGCCTTGGCGAACTAATTCTCACCCCCTTAGAGGTAATATCATCTCTATTGAGAATGCACGATCTCTGCTTCTACCCATATTGTCTTCTGACTTGGAAGACTGACCCCTTTCTTTTCTCTTAATTTGTGTCTTTAAGTTTTTCTAGACTTAGCACATATTCACTACCTCCAGAATCATCCATAATTCATTTCATCCTCCCTTGATTGCTACTATACTCAACGGCCTGGTTGAAATTCGTAGATTGAGCAATATTATCTTGGATTTCTTTAATATTTCTTTATAATTGTTCCCATATTTCTGTGGTGAGATTGTAGACTTCTTGAAGATAAACAGTTGTTTGTGGGGCAATATGCAATGACTTGCAAATGAATAATCACAATGGTGTGGAAGATGTTTGGTATTTCAAGGGAATGGCAAGAATGTGAACTTGAACAGTAGAGGATGATTTTGGAACAGTAATTTGGGGCCTTGCTATGGTTTCTTCTGGATCTTATGATTGCATCTGCTTTTCCAACTTTAAAACACTTAAATATTAGATTAAAAGAAGATAAAAATTAAAATAAATAATAAGGAATTACTAACAGAACCTAAAAAGTTGTGGGCAATTTGAGGTCCAGTAATGTATATATATTATTAGTCAAGTAAATTTATAGCAGTGATGAAATCTAATTGAGACATTTCTAATCATACATAAGTAAAATCATTACAGTGTTATTTCTAAATAATGCATTTATGTCGTAGTACTATAGACATATTCCTTTAGGTTCTTTTCAGTACTCTCTACCTTTAATTATAGGATGTGAAGTTGACAGCAAGCAATGATGATTATTATTTTGTATTTGAAGATTATTTATATCAGGTAAGTTGAAAAATCAAAACATATAATGTTCTTGTTTTAAGTGCTCTAATTCATCATACTTTAGGAGATATCTCTGTTTTTAACTGAATCCTCCTGAAATCTAAACCATGTTTGTTTTTTATCAAATATTCTAAGTTTAGAATAAGGTTAACTTTTGTTCTTACGTGGAATTGGGTGGGAGAATAACAGTTCTCAAATGAGTGTTTGGACTGTTTCTTTTGGTCATATTTGCTATGACTAGGAGAGGTATAGGCACGGATTCTTAAACTGGGTGTTAAATACATACTTAAGCCATCCCAAGATGTTTAGAAAAAGCATTTTACATGACACTTTTCTATTAAAAAAAGTATTGAATAAATAATTAAATGTTTTGAAATCAGTTTGAGGTGTCTTGATTATTCTTTGATCATCTCATATGCTGATGTTGTAGATGTTTGGGTCCTTACCTAAGTCTTTTTTGTATCTACTAAAATTAAAACATCTTATCATAAATAGAAAATGTGTAATTTATATAGAATTGCCTAGATGATATTCTTTTTTAAAAGATCACACATATATATTAATAATTTTATTTTGAGTGTCAATATAAATGTCCTGGTGAAAATATCTACTTTCCACGTAGTAATTTCAGCTTGAGTAAATAGAAATCAGTTCCAGTTGTTTGGATTAACAGATTTCTGTTGGTAATAGTGGTAGTAGTATGCATCTGTTTAAGAAAAAGAATTAAAAAAGAATCTCTCAAAGTTTAATTATTCATTCAAAGCACTGAAATCCAAAGACTTTATTGATAAAATTAAATTTGAAATAACCCTAGAAACAAATTTAAGAGGATTTTAATGATTTCACATATGTGATTAATTTTTTATTTTAAAAAATAGTAAGGATTTAAAATTCCATTTTTAATGTAAAGTCAGTTATTAATTAAAATTTAGAAAATACAAAAATCTGAAAGTTTATTTACTTATGTCACCAGTATATATACCCCAGTGTCTAATTGTTAGTAATCAGTAAAATTCTGAATATATGGGTAAAGTTAACATTTCATTTATATATTAATGTTATTTTACTGATGACCTCTAAACTTAAGAAAATTGAGTGGATATTAGCACTTTTGGAATGGTAGCATGGAACCATCCCCAGCAAAAAACTGGTGAAAAATTATTTTAAAAACAAAAATATTTTAAGTATCTGAAAATGGTCCTAAGGTCATACATCAAATCAGAAAAAAAAAAAAAATTATTCAAGAGAAGCTACTAAATCCCCAGTAAGAACAGTCTGTGGCACTTGAGCCAAGACACACTCTCTCCTTCCCCTCACCCCGAGATCAACAAGACAGAAGCTTCAGTTCATCTGAGTGTGACCAAGAAGATGGGGTTCCCTTTCCCTTTAACTTCCAGTCAAGGGCTACACTAGCTCTATAGAAGGTGTAGGTAGCCAGTATTTCTCATATCCTTTAGCTCTTTGTTGCAGCTGCTAAATTCCAGAATATTGCTGCCAAGTCAGAAGCTCCCTTCTTCCACCTGCCCTCCACTCATAGGGTAGGCCTCTGCCCCAAATGCTCTACCTGCTCTCAATAGGCTGAGAATACTGGGGCCCCACTTCCCTCACCCCAATTTGCTCATAGGGTGGCAGTTCCTCACTGGGGGAGGCAAGCTGAGAACACCAAAAGTTTACTGTCCCCAACCAGTGTCCTCAGAAATCAGAAGTGGGCCATAGTCCTACTCCTAGCTCCAGAGCAGTGACTCAGAGATTTTGTCCAGGGACATAAGAAAAGCGACCAATGAAGCTGTCCACAAAGAACTGACTTTAAGTGGAATGTGGGAAGTTCAAGTTTAATGGGCTTCTCTAAAACAATGGAGATTTTAATGATAGGCAATTAAGAGGAGACAATTAGCTTCATGAGAGTAACGAGCTAAAACTACAAGCCACCTAGTTTACCAGAGAGACCAGAGAAGGAGACAGCTGGGAAGAGCCTTGCCTGGATAGTAACAAATTTCAAAGACTGGCCTCAAAAATGACCTCTGTGAAGGATTCAAAATTTGATTGTATCCGACTGTGGTACAATTTATACCTGAGAATGTTGTTGAAAACAGTAGAGCAATCACCTGGCAGTTAGTGGAGCCGAACGTCTGGTTGTGAAAAGGGGGGGGGGGGTGCAGAAAGCTTAGCAGAGAGGTCAGAGAGAGAGAGGATTACAGAGAGCCCTGCTAAAACTTGTGTCATCGAGGAGTGACTGTACCCACAAGGCTGCATCCTCTGACACACATCAGAGGCTTCACACTGTGAGAGAAAGGAACCTCTGTAAAATATTTCAACCAAGTCAGCAAACAAATAAGCAGACTCATGTTTGATGGAGTCTCATTTATTTTTGCTTTTGTTCCTTGTGCTTTTGGCATCATATCCAAGAAATCACTGCCAAGACCAATGTCAAGGAAATTTTCTTGATGTTTTCTTCTAGGAGTTTTATGGATCAGGTCTTAAATTTAAGTCTTTAATCCATCTTAAGTTTACTTTTGTGAGCGATGTGAAATAGGGGTCTAATTCCATTCTTCTGTATGTGAATATCCTGTTTTCCCTGCACCATTTATTGACGTACTATCCTTTCTGCATTGAGTATTCCTGGCTCCCTTGTCAAATATGAGTTGACTGTATATGCAGGGGTTTATTTCTGTGCTCTTGATTCTGTTCCATTGATCTCTTGTGTCTGTTTTTATGCCAGTACCATAAGGTTTTGATTACTGTAGCTTTGAAGTGTACTTTGAAATCAGGAAGTGTAATGCCTCCACTTTGTTGTTCTTTCTCAAGACTGCTGTAGCTATTCAGAGTCCTTCATGTGTTTATACAAGTTTTAGGATCGGTTTTTCTGTTTCTGTGAAAAATGCCATTGGAATTTTGATAGGGATTGCATTGAATCTGTAGATGGCTTTTGGTAATATCGACATTTCAACAATGTTATTTCTTCTGATCCATGAACACGGAGATTTTTTTCCATTTGTGTCTTCTTCAATTTCTTTCATCAAAGTCTTATACTTATCAGTGTAGATCGTTCACCTCCTTGGGTAAATTTATTCCTTAGTATCTTATTCTTTTGGATGTTATTGTAAGATGGAATTATTGGGTGTTTTTTTTTAAGCTGTTTTGTTATTAATGTATAGAAATGCAACTGTTGGGTGCCTGGGTGGCTCAGTCGGTTAAGTGTCTGCCTTCAGCTCAGGTCATGATCTCAGGGTCCTGGGATTGAGCCCTGTTTTGGGCTCCCTGCTCAGCGGGGAGTCTGCTTTTCCCCCTCCCTCTGCCACTCTCTCATGCTCTCTCTGTCTCTCAAATAAATAAATATCTTTTAAAAAAAAAGAAATGCAACTGTTTTCTGATGTTGGTTTTACATCCTGCAACTTTACTGAATTGGTTGATTAGTTAGTTCTAGCAGCTTTTTGGTGGAGTCTTTAGGATTTTTATGTATATAAGTTCATATTGATGCAGGTGGGTCGGGTCTGAGGACTCAGAGGGGGTCCCACTGGACCAGCCTAGAGGGTCCTTGGCTTCACACAGGATGGAAGTCAAACATGAGCCAGCAGGAGGTGAAAGCAGAGTTTATTGAAGGTATAGAGAGCAGATACAGATGGAGTATCTGGGTGACTCAGAAAGGAAAAGAGGGAGTCTTTGCTTGGGGTCTGAGGTTTTTATTGATGATTGTGGTCTGGTGCATGTGTCTTCTCAGGCATCCAGGAACCGATCAGAATGAAGACAGGGTGCAGGTGTCCATCATAAGTCACTTATTCCCTGGAGCCCAGGGGTCTTGGCATCAAGGTGTTTAGTGACAGTGGTCTATAATGTGCACATAATGGCCTCACCTGGTCATTCCTTAGATGGTATCTGTTGTGCTAGAAGACTCCAAAGAAATCATTAACTCCTCATCCCTTATGAGGAGGACATACATTAAGGTATGTGTAGGGCAGGGGTGCAGGTCCTAGCAAGAATAGAAGCCAGAAAAAGAAACAAAGGAGGAAAAAAAAAAAGCCAAACTTTTTTTTTTTTTTTTTCTCATGGGGTCCCCTTCGATTTCCCTGTCTCATTCCCTGCTATGGGATTTTCATTCTCATATTCTTAAGGGGTGTTGAAGGGCGAAGGTCTCATCTTCTGTAGCTTCTTCAGGCTGAAAGGGATTGTAGACCCTGCCTATTGGAATGCATAAAAATCCCAATTAAATGAAGGGCCCCTACTTGTAGATTGTCAAAGATGTTCATGAGGCCTCATCATTAAAATAGAACGCCTCCTAGAGAATATCCGTTCTGATAATTTTTCTGACATATTTATGCAGAACATGCAACAACAGTAGCTCCCACAGCAAAGAAAAAGCCCTAGCAGAACTATTGCTACTACTACTAAAAGAAGTTTTTTCCACCAAGACCATCCATTTCCACTAAACCAGGAATAAATCCAGTCATTGAGGGAACTAGAGGAGTCAGACATTGCTTCAATTTGGTTGTGCATGTCTGATAAAAGTTTAGATACATTAGCTGAGTTATCTGGGATATATACACAACATTCAGTCTTAATGATAGCACAGGTTCCTCCTTGAGCTGCTGTTATTATGTCTAAGGCCATCCTATTTTGTAATACAGCCTTTCTCATTAATGCAACTTCAGAATTTAACAGGCTGAGTGCATGCATAGTATCATTAAGGGCGTGTTTGGTATAGTTTGTGAGGGCCTCTATGTGCCAGATTATGTCTTCTATTCCCAGTTGGGGCAGGAAAATACCTAACAGGTGATCATACCAGTGGAAGACTGACCGTGTCCAGCGATGGAGTAGATGGGGATAATTTGCAGGCATAGATAATTTTTTACGCAATCTCCCTTGTATCCAGGGAAAACCCAGGGTACAACGCCCTATCCATCCAGGGGGTAGCCAAGGCCACAAATTTGTGCCACATAGCCACTGAGTTCCATTGGGTGCTAACCATCTGATGCCTGGTCGTCTTATCCAATCAGTAGCAAACCAGTCAGTTGATTGTAAAACAATGATATGGGTACAAGCTCCTCGGGAGAGCCATCCTAATTCACGGGTGCTATTAGGCCAGGCATCATAGGTATGATTTCTTTGCTCCCAACATAAAAGAGCTTTCTGGTTTAATTGGCCTATGGTAGGAGTAAGCCACATAAATTCATCCCATACTTGAAAATAACCATCCTCGGTATATCTCATATTATTAGGCTTAGTTGTTCCCCACAATGCTTTCTTATTTTCAGTCTTAGAGTTGGCATATTCAGTCATGATTTTGGCAGTCTGGGGGTAGGAAAAAGGTCTTTTATGGCCTGGAGAATTCCAGGTAATATTTACCATAGGCCAACAAGAAACATTGCCGTTAGTGATAGAGATGTCCCTATATATGCTTGTATTTGGCTGGAAAACCATATCTTTTATATATTGGTGTAAGTAATGCCAGTCTGTGCCTTGTAAAGGAGAAACCCACCACGGGAGGCCTGAGGTGCTGGACAAAGGGAGGAGGCCACAAATCCAGCAGGAACTTTTCTGTAAACTGTCAGCGTAGTGTTGAGCCCATTGCAAAAATAAATTGGGGCCAGTAGCTTGTCCTAGAGATAGGTAAGTAAAGAGCAAATTTAGAAAAGTGAAAGATTTTAAAAGCGCCATCAAGCCTTACTTATTGGTCCTTCAGAGCAGCAACTTTAGTCTTTTCCTCAGGTTCGCAGGCATGGGTGGATGCTGGGAGCTCCAGGTAGACACTGTAGCAGGTATTTTCTTGAAAAGATAGGTTTAATTCGTTGACAGGCTCGCAGGCATATGTGTCCCCTTCTTCCCTTGGAGGTGGTATCAAAGTTGGCTCCTGCAGAGACTCAGGAGAGATAGGTTTGATTCTGGACAAGTGAACCCAGCTCAAGAGACCTTTAAGTCTTACTGCTGTAGGGGTGCTGAGTAAAAGCTGATAGGGCCCTTTCCCACCTTGGTTCAAGCTGATCTTCTGGTGACCCCCTTTTCCATGTTTTTAATGGTCTCTTGCTCCCTGGTGGCATTGGCACAGACTGCTTGTCTTCAGTGGGGTTTGGAAGTACTTTATTTCCATACTTTTGGAGAGACTAGTGCTTTACCCAGACTAGGAATGTATTTTAAAATTTGATTGGTTTCCTCAGCAAACCATAAAGTTGCAGTGAGAAAAGGTCATATTTTCCATATGTCATTTCAAAGGGGTTCAATTTAAGACTCCCCTTTGGAGCTACTCTTATTCTGAGTAAAGCAATCAGCAACAGCTTATACCGTGTTTCATGAGTTTCTCGACAGAGTTTTGCCAAAGTTCGTTTAAAGATGTGGTTCATTTTGTCCACTTTTCCCGAAGATTGAGGCCTCCATGAGAGATGAAGTTGATAGCAGATCCCTAGGGTCCCTGATAATTGTGTTATTTTAGCAGCGAAAGAGGGTCCATTATCACTTTGCAGACTCCAGAGAAGTCCAAACCTAGGTATGACTTCCTTTAATAAGATCTTAGAAACCTCTAAAGCCCTGTCTGTTCTAATAGGGAAGTCCTCTACCTACCCTGTCAATGTATCCACATAAACCAGCAGATACTTCTATCCCAGAGAGGGTGGCATTTGAGTGAAGTCAGTTGGCCAGTCTTCCCCATGGTAAGTGCCTCTATATTGAACTGGCTTAATTAAGAGGGGAGGCATAGGATGGGACCCTGGGTCATTTCTGACACAAATATCACATGCCCTGGTAACTTCTCTTAGAGTTTTGGCTAGATTCTTTCCTCTGAATACTTGGGGCAATAGATTTTCCATAGTGTCTCTACCAAAGTGAGTGGAGTCATGTATTTGCTTAATTATTTTCTTTTTTTTTTCATTTTAAACAAGAAGTTTATTTAAACAACAAGACACTTGAAAGGAAAACAATCTAGGATTCATTTCTTTTAGAGTAATTTATCCCCACTTAAAGACAGATCATCTTACATGTAACGGCTACATACAAAAAAGTTATAAAATTGTCCTTGGTTTTACAATGATAGATGAAGAACATTAAAATTCTCCAGTCAAACAAGGTATGCAAAGATTTTTATGTTGTTCTTTTTTTGTTAAACCGTGAAAGCAAAACAACTTGCTGGAATATAAAGGTAAGAGCTGACTGAGCATGCCACAAATGGAAAGAGGGGATATTCTCACAGAACCAGTATTTTCCCCTATCCCATCTCCATTTGATGTCAATCAAAACATACCATTGGCCATTTAGTTAAAAAAAAAAAGGGCAATTGTGCTTGTGCACATATATAGTTACTTTATGTCCACCAAGGGAATGGGGGAGGGGAAAATGAAAGACAAGGGAAGGGGGGAGGGGAAAATGAAAGAACAGAGAAAACTATACTGCAGTAGTCAGGGTGTGGTGGGACCAGATTGTGGTTTTCTACCTGAGAATGTCTTCTTGGTCTGGAGGAACAGAGTCCTGGAGTAAAGTAGCGAGTTCCCTTTCTAGTAGACGCCTCCTGTCTGCTGCTGGAACACATCAATTATATCTTCATCCTGCATCTCCAGCAGCGCCGGCGTGTCTGTTTCCTTGATCGGGTGCCCGTCAAATCGGAACCTGACCTGCGTCATGGACAGACCCTGTCGTTCACAGTAGGCTTTCATCAGTTTACTAAGTAGTGTATGCCTCTTAATCTTAAAGTACACCAGAGAACCATCCTGCCCCGCCACCTTCAAATGAATATGATTGTTGTTCTCAGTCGTGACTTCTTCCTTGGGCTTTTCCTCAGCCATGGCGAGCACTGGAGTCTCCTCAGCTGCCGCTTCACCAAAGAGGTGCCAGGTCCACACCGAGCGAGCACACAAGCAGCCCCAGGAGTGGCAGAAGAAGGCTCAGTTATTTTCCATTGCAATGCCTTGGGGAGTACATATTTGTTATTTAATATATACCATCCCAATCGATTTCAGATCCCTTTTGTAAGGCCCATTGAGCCTCAGAGGGAGTATAGTTTGGGCTTCTTTCTTGCAGAGGACCTTCTGGAAGCTAAAACCTGTATAGCAAGCTCTTTCTTCCTTGCTGTCCCTTTTGCTATTCTATCCGCAAAATCGTTTCCTTTACTCCTTATTGTTTGGTCTCTTTGGTGTCCTTTACAATGTACAACTGGCTCCTTCCAAGGAAGCTGTACAGCCTCTAATAATGTTAAAATGTTCCCTTTATGTTTCATAGGGGAGCTTTTTGAATTTGATAGTACCCCTTTCCAGATGGCTGCATGGGCATGAAATATTAAGAAGCCATATTTAGAATCAGGATATATATTTAACTTTAACCCTTTACCTAGTTGTAGTGCTCAGGCTAAAGCAATCAGTTCGGCCCTTTGTGCCGAAGTATGGGGAGGGAAAGCTTGTGCCTCAGTTACCTCCTGTAGGCTGACAATAGCATATCCGATTTTTCTGGTTCCCTCATGCATAAAGCTACTTCCATCTGTAAACCATTCGGCCTCTGGATTGGGCAAAGGTTTGTCCTTTAAATCGGACCTCCTTGAATACACTTATTTTTCACTGTCCACACAGGAGTGGATTAGAAGCTCCTGCTTGCCTTCATCAGGTAATAGAGGAGCTGGGTTTAAGCCTCCACACACCTGAAGGGTTAGTTACATCAGGGGTATCAAGGAGGAGGGCTTGATAGCTCAGTAATCTCTCTCCTGTTAAGCATTCATGCCCTTTGACTTCTAAAACCCCTTGGACTTGATGTGGGATCATGACATCCAGATGTTTTCCTAGAGTAAATATGCTAGCTACTCCAACTAGGTGGGTAGTCACAACACTGCTGGTAAACATCCTGGCCATCCTTCTGCTACCAGATCTAATTGTTTGGAGAAAGAAGCTACTGGGCTAGGAACAGGTTTGAGTTTTTGAGTTCGGACACACAAGGCTATTCCTGTCCTTTCTCAGACATATGAGGTGAAGGATTTTTTCCAGGTTTGGGAGCCCCAAGACAGGAGCAGTGCTCAGTTTTTCTTTCATACCTTTGAAGTCTTGGTGGCAATCATCATTCCATTCCAGGGGTTCTAAATCACTTCCTTGTAATGCTTTATAAAAGAGTTTGGCCATAAGGCTAAACCCTGGAATCCAAATGCAACAAAAGCCTAGCGTGCTTAAGAAGGTTCTTAACTGCCTTGTTGTTTGTGGTACTAAAATATTCAGTGTGGATGATTTTCTGTCCTGGGCCAGTGTCCGTGCCTCTGGAGTGAGGCCATAGCCCAGGTATTGAACCTTCTCCTTAGAAGTCTGGGTTTTCTGCGGAGATACTCTGTATCTCCATTGTCCTAAAAGTTAAGGGTGAGGGTTGTATTTTCATCAGAATCTTCTTTTGTAGGGCTGGCAATCAATATATCACCCACATATTGAAGTAAAGTTCCATTAATCTGTTGTAAACCCCCCCCCCTTCCATTTTTAAAGCATTCCCAAACAAATATGGGCTGTCTCTGAATCCCTGAGACAGCACCATCCTGTCAGCTGGGGGATCTCACAAGTATCAGGGTCAGTCCATTCAAAAGCAAAAGGATATGGGGAGTCAGGGTGTTCCGGTATGCAGAAGAAAGCATCCTTTAAGTCTAACACCATAAACCAGTTTGCATCTGGAGGCACTTGTGTCATTATGGCATAAGGGTTAGGGACTGTGGGATGAATAGGGATCACTGCCTCATTCATTGCGCTCAAATCCCGGATAAAGCAGTACTCCCCGTTTGGCTCTTCACTGGTAGAATGGGGATATTGCAGGGTCACTTACAAGGGGTTAATAATCCATATTTCAAAAACTTCTTAATTAGAGGCTGAATACCTTCTTGGGTCTCTGGTCTTTTCCAAGAATATTCTACCCGTGGTCTTAGGGAGATAACAATGGAGGAAATATTATTGGCTCTCCCAGGAACCTCTGTTTCCCATACACTGGGCATTATTCTGATTGTAATATGGGACGGTATACTGTCTGGCACATAAATATTATTTCGCACTTGCATGTCTAGGCCCATTACCATTATAAACTTTGTTTTCTCTACATTTGGGTCTGTCAGTCCTATGTTTATGGCTTAGCAAGTAAGTTGCTCCCAGTAAGTTGCTCCCAGTAGGGCATTCAGGTAACAGGAGAAAGCTGTGTGAAAGCAAGAGACAGCCCATGTCACAAGCTACTGGACAAGTCAGTTGTCTCACCTGTGCCCATCCATCTATTCCAGTAACTGTACAAGAGTGCTGGGATAGAAGCCCATGAGGCTGAGTCAGGACAGAGTAAGTGGCTCCTGTGTCCAATGCAAATTCAGTATCCTTACTTGCCCCATCAGAGATCGCCTGAGGCTCTTGGTTATGTTGAGATGTCCAGGAGGAGCCATAGGGAGAGCTCAGGCCCCTTCAGGCCTCTGTAACTTTGGCCAGCAAAGCTTTTGGGGCTGGACCCACCTTCCTTCTGAGGTGGGGACAATCCTTTTTCCAGTGGCTGTCTGTCTTACTGAAGGCACATTGATTGGGACCCCCAGCCTTTTGTGAGCCAGGCTTTGCCAGAGTCTAGCCTTGTAGGTTTCTACACATGGGGATCCTGGAGTGGTGTGTTCCCCATTGCTGTGGCCAAAAGTGGGGCATGGCATTTATTTTGGACAAACATGTCCATCTTCTCTGCCTTGTTTCTATTATTAAAAACAGCAAAAGCCATATCCAACAATTGGTTCATAGGAGTTCAGGGCCCACCAGTTGCCTTCTGTCATTTTCCCCTGACACCTGCCGCAGATTGCAGGATAAAATGCACAGCCAACAGTGACGGCCCTTCTGGAGAATTGGGGTCTGTACTGGTATACTTCTGGAAAGCCTCCATCAGAGACCCTCCAAAGAGAGCTGGGTTTTCACCCTTTCTTTGAGTTTCTTCCCTTACTTTATTGAATTAACTGGCTTAACTATGCATGGTCTCATTCCCTCCTCTACAGTGCAGCAATGAAACAGTAAGATCTGTAGGTTTCCCCCAAGTCAGATCAAACATCAAATCAGTTCCAGGATGTAAGTGCCTCCCTGATTTAGGAACTCAGGCCACGCAAACTTTACATTGTCCTTTAGAGTCCTGATATAGGGCCCTAAAGGGTAACACAGAAGGCACTTCATTCCATTTCCCTTCCATCTTACAATATAAATCAAGCTGTAAAATGGTATTGTAATTCAAACTCCCATTTGCAGGCCAGGTTTCTTGGTTCCCCAAGTGATAGTGGGGCCAGGCCTCATTACAATATAATATTAGCTTCTTCTTTTTCAACTTCTCCAGCATGAATTGTGCCTAATTATATAACAAACAAACGGGAACCCGTGGGAATGCTCACTCTTGCCCCCATTTAGGACCATAAGCAAGGAGTCAGATTGGGGCAAAGATTCTAGGATGATATTGTTCAGAATGCAAGAGATCTAAGGCAGAGGAGAGAGTCATTGGCTACAGTGGCCCCGGCCAAATGAATCAGATCAAAGTCATGGAGTTTCCTAGAAACCAAAAGGAAAGATAATCTGTTAAGGATAGGGAAGCCTGCTAATGCTGAATACTATGGTCAGACAATATAATTCCTCAATGACTGGGTGAACAGTTTAAAGGGCCAAAAAGGCGAAAATTCAGAGGGGTAGAAATAGGTGTAGAGGAGTGATAGGGTCTGGCATAGTGAGCAAAAGGGTGCAAAAGATTCCAACTTGCCACATTTCTCCCTCATCTAATAAGATGCCGTGTGTCTCATCCCTATACGCCAAAAACCCATTGCAACTGGGGGCACCAGGACCACTCTTTATTCTAAGAGTTTTGGTCCTTGACAAGATTGGCCACCAATCCCCAGCATTACTCCAATGTCCCAGAATTGCCGTGAGGAGACAGCCACTTGGCAATGGAAAAGAGAGAGAGAAAGAGAAGTGCAGACTCTATTCTAGGGAAAGCATGTGGTAGATCGAATGTGCTACTTATGGGGAGAACCAGGGGGCCTATCTTCCCCACTTATCTGTCTGTTTGTCCCAGTGGCAGTCTAAAACTACCATGGGGACTCACAGCACTGGATGATCAGTCCTTCTGTGTGCATCCCTGGGTAAGCCAAAAATTAATTACCATGGTTGGGGGGAAGTTTTTCTATGGGACCACACCTGTCTCAAATCATCTCTGATACTTCCCTTGGTCCTTAGTTGCCTCAGAACACCTTTCAGCGGGAAGGAACAAGTGTCCCTTTTCTTCGGAGCTGAGTGACTCGGTCTCTCATGACAACTAACAGCCTTGAAGTTGTCTGGAAGCCAGAGTAAAAAGAGTTTCAGAGCACAGAGAGAATGGGGAGTAAGAAGAGCAGGTTCACAGACCAGTTTTCCCAGTTTCTCTTCCTCCCTGGAGAATGGAGGAAGAAAACAGAGAGGCACGGAGACAAAAATTACATCAGCATTAAACCAGCTCTGTTTCCCAGGGGAGGAACTTACCAGTTCCCGAAAGCCAAGTTGTGCTTCGCAGACTCAATCTGGGGATACCAGTGTTCCTCTGTGGGTCCCTTTGGTCGCCAAGATGATGCGGGCAAGCTGGGTCTGAGGACCCAGAAGGTGTCCCACAGGATCAGCCAAGAGGGTCCTTGGCTGCACACGGGATGGAAATCAAACTCGAGCCAGCAGGAGGCAAAAGAAGAGTTTATTGGAAGAGTAGAGAGTGAGCAGATCAGATAGAGTGTCTGGGAGCCTCAGAAAGGAAACAAGAGAGCCTGTGCTTGGGGTCTGGGTTTTTATTGACATTGTGGTTTGGTACACGTGTCTTC